TTTACCTTCTAATGAAAAACCTGCGAGTGGGATAGTTTGCCTTCTGACTGGAAGTCTGTGAAGCTGTGCTTACATTTGGACACAGGCTGCATTCACATGCGAATTGCATCACAAGCAGATGAAGCAAAAAATCACCTAAGGCAGTGGTCTCAGAGCATGTGATTCCCACATGATGCAAAGTAAATCCTAACAGGGGTCAGTAGCTATTTTGTGACCATTTGGATTTGAACTTTGTTGACCTTTTTTTTAATTAAATCAAATCTTCTTCAGCCAACAAAGTGATTAGGAAGTGGAGGAATGTAATCACAGATCTTAAGAACAATTTTTTAAAGGTGCTGAAGTGACATCAGAACCCAAGTCCCATTTTCAAAGGGAACTGAAACACTTTGGAACAGTCATATTGACCTCTTGTGGTACTGAGAAACATAATAGTTGATCTTATAGGGTGCATCCACACATGAAAGCATGTGTGCTTGCAGCAGCTCTAATAGAAGTGGTGCAAATTTGAGCCAACTCAGGAGAAAGGCTAACTTTTCCCAAAAGGCTTAGGTCACATTTGAAGACTGGGACTTGGGTTCCTAAGTCACTCAAGCACTTTGAAGAAATTTCACCCTATTACTACTGCTATTATTTAAATTTATATCTGTCCCTATCCAGAAATGCTCAGAGCAGCTTACAAGAACAAACAAATGACTCACAAGATAAGAAACAAGAGATTCCCCAACTGACATGTCATAGAGTCACGCTACCTACTTGTGTAGGATCACTACTGTGACACGCTATATGTTGCTAACATTGCCATCACCATAAATAACCATGAGATAATACAAATCATTACATTCAGCAAATGTGGTTTGGGGACTTAGCAATTTTTTTTTCCTGTAGATGAAATGGAGCCACTGTCAATAAACACCTAACACATTTTTGGTTGCTATAGAAATAATAGTATGCAACTACCAAGTGCTCTCCTTAACTTCAGGGAGATTTGGACTTGCCCCTTCTTGGCATGTCTGCAGGCTTGCTTCTGTTCCCACTGAAGTCAACAACAAAACTCCGATTCACTTCAATGCGACAAGCACTGCATTTTAGAATTTGAGCAGTAGTTGCTGGGACAGAAACACTGGTCACAATCGCACTATTTTCTGTATCATATTATTAGATGATAATGCAGATGAAATGTATCATCATGTTCCCACATGATAACTGCTGCAAGGCTTCTGTATCATGGTTTTAACTGAATAGATACTCACTGGCAATCTATTCCTTGTGCCTGTTTTTTATGGGGTGTGTTTATTCCCCCTTTATTCCCCCCTGCAGAATAAAGGGAAATCAAACCAACACAATTTCTTGGTGTTACAGCCTGCCTGTTTCTGAATTCTAGAGCATATTTTCTATCTGCAGCCAGAAAGTGTTTGCATCATGCTGAGAAAATAAATCTGGCTTCAAATAAGAGTGCAAGGACAAATTTTCAAAAGCTGACAGAAAAGAATACTCAAGGGTCATGACAGCAGCCATTTCTTAGCACCCCTCCCTCCTCAAAGCTAGGCCTGCAAGTTCTATAAGCCTTTGAAACTGCCCTTCCATTGAGTCTGCATAATGCTGCAGTACATACTACATATTGGGGAGTCCAAATGTTAAACCATTCCAAATATCTGAGAGGGGTGCTGCATTTTTCTGCTGGTCCCCAAGTCACAACAGATGGTTATACATGGCAGGGGAGGAGAGGATAATCATACTTAGCATGTTTATTGGGCTTCACTATGCTAGACAAATAATGAATCCTCATAATAGGCAGTCTGAGCATCCTGAGAATTTTTTTTTAACAGTGAAGTGTCTCTACGTAAGGGGTACTATGCTAAGGGAAGTGATGGAAGCCCCACTGCTAGAGTAATTTGAAACTAGTCCAGACAGTGCAGTGGAGGTATGCTGCAGGCAGCAATCCTGCTCTAGGCACCTCAGGGGAGGGACTAGATGAGCCTTTTACATCTTTATGAGTCTATTATTATTGCCAGGATATTAAACGCCAGAACAATTGCCATCAAGCAGCAGACAAACAATACCAAAGGGTGCCATTGAGGGGTTAACTCCCCTTCCCCCCAGTATTAGTCTTTAGAATTACAAAAAATACTAATCAAAATAAGAATCTCTACAATAAGTATATCTGGCTGCAAAGAAAACATCATAAACAATATAAGTGCCGTATGTCATTACTCTTGGACAGACTATGGATGAACATCTCGAGAGGCTGACACTCTCTCAGGCCAACAGTTCCTGGGTTTCTTGTAAGCCACTTCCCAAGCATGGCTAACACTTCATTAGTGCTAGCAAAGAGGCTTCCCTTCAGGTTTTCAGAGCAGTGACTGAAAGGGAAGTGGGGTGAGAGGGGGAAAGGGCTTTAGGGTTCATGGAATCAGGAAGTGAAGAAGTGCAGGGATGGCTCCTAACCCTACTGAGTTACTAGCACTCAAATACTACAGAAAGATATGATATTACCTCTGATGTTCACGGCAGAGCTGGCAAAGAAGTATTCACATTTCTTATGCATTTAATAAAAAAACCTCGAAGCAATTTGACTGGCTGGAAAACATTTCCTTCCAGTGAAAAATCCCAAGATTTCAACTCTGGTGTGGAATGGAACTGAGTCCTATTGAAATATTTTGCAAAAAACTAGGGGAGGGGGACCAATCTAAGCGACCCAGTTCAAATCCCTGGTCTGTCCCAGTACCATTAAAGGTCCATTGAACCATTCAAGCTGGACCACCCTAACCACCACCTCCAGAGTCAGTTTCTTTCACTCAGTGGATATTTAATTATTTATACTAACTGAAAGAGCTCCAACAGCAGAAACTGACTCTGTATCTCTACGGTTAGCCAGGGCTTGAACCTGAGCCTCCCATGATGCAAGTGAATGCCCCAACCACCAAGCATTTGGCTGTTCTTCTATAGATTTGTCTCCATCTATCTTAGAAATCATCATACACCCGTGAAACTTTCCCAGTTAAAATGTTGTGGAAATGGGTTGGTTTTAACAAATATAAACAAAAACAAGTTGGGCTTTTTGGGGGGGGGGGGATGCAGAATAAACAAACCAGAAACGTGCCACTGAGCAATTCTTGACTAGACTCTGCAAGTCATTTGCAGTATTGCCACCTCAAACCGCTAAAAATCAAAATACAGCACCCATTATTCTAGACCCCAAGGCTGGAAAACAGAGGGGAAAAAAGAAAGTCTCTCATGAACCAAATCTCAAAATTTTCCTGTAATTATTTGGAACAAAACTCATGTATTACTGAATTCTTCACCAAAGAAAGTTCTGAATAGTTCCATTTTGGCTTACCTGAACTATGTTGTTTCAACACATCTAAATGCTTTGTTTGGATTTCATCAATGATGGAAATGCCAGGATGTTTTGATGTTGTTCAAATTTCCCCCCACCCTTTTTTTTTGTTCAAAATAAACTGGTGAAATCAACATGTTATGAAGCACGTTCTGATTTCCAATTGAAGTTTTTCTGGTCTGCTCTAAAAACTGACCTACACATTATGAGACTTTATTTGCACAGCATGTGCAAGCGCTATACAAGTCTGCAAGTCAGTAATTTCTTTTCCAACTGAAGGAGCTCAATGGAAGCAGCATGCAACTGGTGAAGTTAGGACTTGTCACATTTCTTCCCAGACACTTGGAGGTCTACAATAACAGGTGGCTAGACTTCTCTTTTACATTTTATCTGAATGGTCGCATGCAGCAGCATATCCCCTCCCCTCCAGTACCACAAAGGACAACGAGCACACACTGAATCACCAATACGGTTTCCAGCAGCACTGAAGTGATCTTCTGGGAGCTCCTAAATAAGTACAGTACTGCCTTGACACAACCCTACTTAGCTTGGAAGACCTGAAAGCAGAGATATATACATTGGATGTCAGTACTCTTTCTGGCAAGGGATGGGGAGAACCAAATGGTTTTAAAATAAGACAGCGAGCAGCCCTAACCTGAGCTTAGTTTTCACAGCTTTGAATGGGGTATTTCCCACATAAGATGTAGTGGACTATGTCCATTTGTTACTTTAGATGGCAGCAGCAGAGCATCTGACAGCATCCCTGAGAATGGGATGAATGCTCTAGGAAAAACATAGCCTCTGCTTTTTAGCAGATCACTTGCTCTCTCTCTGAGCACCAAATGCTGCTCTGTATGTCTCATTCCTGAGAAGGGTTTAGGTAAAACATTTGCAGCTGAGCTCCAAATGAGAATGTGAGCTGTTCTAAAGAGCTGGAAAGCATGGTGCAGAGGCGAAACAAGTGTGCATGAACAACATGGGCCATCTCCATGATTCTTATGCCAACTCCTTCAGTTTGCAAGTGTTTATGTCAATAACTCAAAGACCTGTCACTCCACAAACAGCCATGGAAACCATAAGAGCCATGAAGTGATGTCAGAGCAACACCATTTACAATATGAATACATCTCAGATGGGGAAGAGGGATAGAAAAACATTCCATTTTGTTATTACTGGTTATATTCCAGCAGCTCCTTGAGATGAAATCAGAGCTGCTTTGTGCTGGGCACTGTTAGCTCTATGATCTCCAAGAGACAGTCCTTGACCCAGTCCTTGAACAGAAAAAGGGTTGTAAGAACACTATCCCACCATGACAGATGGAGAACTGAGACAAAAAGATTACATGACTTACCCAAGATCAAAAAGTAAGCCTGTGGAAAGGCTAGAACTGAAACCTTATCCCCAGCATCCATTCAAAGCTGTAACTAAAAAACCCATTTTCCAACATATCCTTCCATTATTTATCTCTTTTGCAGAAGAACCAAAAGATATTTGCAAATACCCTAGAGATTTGTCTTCCTAATGCTATGTGTACGTATACACACATACATGTTGCTGCTAATGGGTTGGGATTCTGAATGGCTTTTTAAAAATACGGCTTTTTGTCTGACCTATAAGCAGATTAGTTCCTCAGCTACCTCCCTTTTGCTATTCATTAACACACTGTTTGGTAACCATCTGCAAACTCGCACAGAGGCTTCTAGTCACCAGTCATCTCTCTCTTCTGTCCCAGGTTTGTTATGTACCGTGTATTGATAGTCCCTGAGGCTACAGAACCGAAGGAACCATTATATGTTAAACTGGCATGGGATTTCTATTGCATGGAACAGCCGCAAGGACTGTCAGGGGGACCATGCACTACACCTATCTGTTGAATGTCTACTATCCCTATTGTAGTATTCGCTTACGTTCATGCCTTAGCATCCCAATCCAACAAAATACTTGATTGTGTGGATACCCAAGTACAATAGCAATCCCTTTCAAATCAGTGGGGTTACTGACATGCCATATAACCAGAACCCAAGGAAAGCAGCAAGGCTGGGGTTACATAGGCTTTTCTCTTTTTCAACCATTGGATCATCCCCATTTTAGAGGTTGAAATAAGGGCTTGATTTCCATTTCCAGTAATGTGGTATCTCGTGTGAGAGTTCAGCAGAGACTGTATTGGAATTAAACATCTGGTCAATCATCAATGGAGCCTGAATTTCAAAAGAAATTTGTTACAAACACACACTGTCCAGGCTAAAATAATACTTTAACAAAAAAGATTTCATTTGTTTTAAAGGAAAGTACAAATAGGTTTCCATTACAGACTATAACAGGATAAGCTCAGGACTTTCCAATCACAAGAGGTTTTACTTCCATAGCTGCCTAAAGCAGTAAAAATAAACCTAGCCACAATTAGACCAACAGCTGATCATGACAAACAAGGGAAAATTTCTATGGAGTTTATCCGGAGAACCGTCTGTGGCTGCACGACAACTGGAAAAGAACAAAAAAAAAAAGGGAAAATGAGATCACACCACTTGAACATATTATACATTAATATTATGCCTATGTGTGAAGGCTTTGACCAGCACAGCCTGATTAGGGGTGTGAGGAGATACGATTCTTGGACATAGCTGTGCCAGCAAAAGTTACCCTGGCAAAACTGTGCTCTTACTGGAATAGTTTATACTGCTTGAAGGAGCTGGAATGAAGTATGTTGGCAGAAGCAGAATTTTGCTGGTATAACCACATTCCCATTATGACACTGCTGGTGGAGCCTTCTGGTATACAGCTGCATCAGCAAAGCTTGCTAGTGTACACAAAGCCTGAGGAAAAGCACCAGCAAAAGTGGGTAATTCTTTAGAGTGTCAGGCTAATCCACCTTTAGTTCTACCCAGCATCTCTCTCTTTCTCATTGTTTTTTTCCTGGCTGGTACTCAGGAAGAAGCTGTCACTCCAGAGCTGCCTCAGTTACATGGTAATTGAGGCCTGCCTCAAGATGTTGCTGAGACTTGCTAACATCTGTTGATATGTATGCAAGATTTGGGGCTGAGAAAGGAGAAAGGCAGCGCTTCCTTGTAAAGCTTTTTTTTGACAATACAGGCAATGTGTGTCAGGCACTGGAGAACCGAAAAAAGGCCACTTTGCTTAAAGCTGCCAGGGTGCTGTTGGGAGGATTCTGGGCCAAGTCTGTGGTAGGTGTGGGTGCTGCTTTGTCCATATTTGGGGGTCTAGGTGCTGAGCTGCAGTATTCCCTGTATTCCTGGGGAACAGAATGGGAGAGTTCTGTGTTCATCTTACCTTTTTTCTTTCGATAATTGTGCCTCTTCCAAAACTTCATGTTAATTTTTGGCCAAGATTCTGTCTTCTCAATAACTGTGGCTTCTACACGGACAAGATCTTTCCTTAAAAAGAAAAAGGCACTGTGTAACTATTACCAATGGGCAGGTCTTCTCGAAGAATTACACAAAAATCATGCAGCTTTCCTACAAGTCCTTGTCCCACAGGAGCAGCTACAGCATCAGGTGCTGAGTGTGTCAATCTGTCTCAACACTGCCAAAACAGCTTTGCATGGCAGAAACGCAGGATAGGGTGTGCAAGGCTTGGACTACCCGAGTGCTGACTCCACTCTGTATAGCAGGGCTTCTCTGCTTCCATCCCAGGGAGTTGGAAAGGAATGTTTCTCCTCTCATAAACGGCTTATGGGCTTATGGTGGGTTTTTTCCGCCTTCCTCCAAAGCACTGGCCACCACTGAAGGTGGGAGTTTTGACTGTGGTGTCCTCCTGCCAGTATGCTGAAACTTGTTAAGTCCCTGGGAAGAGGGTCCTCCCTCTTCCATTCCGGGTCAAAGAAGCTAGAGTCAAGCTCCCTTTTGCTAACTATCTTTCTGGCCCCATAAATCTTGCTGTCTTGCTATACAATGGCCTAGCTTCAACAGGAGAGGAGAATATCCCTGCTTTGGCCTTGCATCTCTGCCAGTCAGTCAGTGTATTTACCTGGGAGGTGGAAGGTTCGAGTCTTCTCAGTTCAAGGAACACCTAGAACCCAGGTGTCCTGCTTCCTAGGCAGGAGCTCTAACCACTAGGTTATTGTGTGTAGGGTGGGCACCACCATCACTACCTCTGGCTGTATTCTAGAAGAAACTAGGATGCTAGTTCTTTGACCCTAAAGGAATGGCTTAAACACACAAGGGCAGGAAGGCATTTGAGTCTGTAAATACAAGTTTCACACAGACACCAAGCTCAAGGCTTCATGAGAAGGAAGCTGAGGATTTCAGCTCTGCTACTGGCTGTCTCAGCTTGTGGGCTGTTGGAAATCTCATTCTCAGGCACCTCCCTCTCACTATTCAAAGTACAACAATCCAGGTCCCTAGAAGTTAGGCAGGGCTAAGGATCACAGGGGCCAAGTCCCTTGGTAACTCCTGGCCTCATCTAATGCTTTGGGTAGCTCTGTTTCTAATCAATGCCAGTGGTGGAGCTGTGGAGTTGCTCTGCTGCAAAATGCCATTAAACACTCATCGCTGATCTCCGTTCTCTGCCAGGAAACATTAAAGACCATTTTCTTGACAAATAATTCTGTCTGCAATTAAGGAGGGGTGGGGAGTGGAAGAATTCCAATAAGGTAATTAAAGGGCAAAGGTTTTGAGATTTACCATCTACATTAACATTTCCATTTTGGGGACGTACTATGTACAAGAGGTTTAATTTTTAGAGGGGAGGAGAAACAGCTTATGGCCGAAAAATCTATGAGCTATGCAGCAAGCCACACAGGAAGCACAGTTTAATGTGGAGGTTCTCAATATGCCTACAGTCCATGGAGCAGTGTGCCACCTAGCTAATGGAGGTTTCTGGGAAATTTCTGGGTCTTGCTCTTTTTCAGTTGTATCTTCAAAGTGTACAATAGTGTACAAATTACTGTATTTACCTGAATCCAAGATGATTTTGAATTTAAGATGACCCTCCCTGCATAATTAGATTCTATAAATGGAAAAGTATAAACTTGTTATAATTTTCCACATATAGAATCTAATTATTGGATGGTCATCTTAAATTCCCCCTTGTCCCCCCTACTGTGGCAGGCAAGGCTCAGCAGGGGGCAAGGGACCAGATCCTCCTCCCTTCTCCTCATCTCGTACCTGTGCCCCTTGCCATTTAGATCCACCCCCACTGCCCCATTTTGATTGGGGAAAAAAAACTCATCTTGGATTTGAGTAAATACAATATAAGACTACAGAAATTAAAACTGTGTGCTATGTAATAAGACAGACAAGGATCTTTGGGTAACTGTGATATGCTATGTAATAACCCATTTACCCAGAGACACTGGCTATGTATGTGGCTCTATAAAAACACATCAGGTCCTTCCTGGGTGGGGACAGACAAAGAAAGAGGCTATTAGCTCTTGGCACAAAAACACATTTTAGTTTATTGTTTTTAAAGAGGTGCCATGTCAGGAGTGTCTGATTTCTACTGAAAACTGAAACACATCCATCTGTTAAAAGCTGAACAAGTTTCTACCCATCTCCCAGTCTACCCAGGGAACTCAGCACCACTGGACAGTGTGGTATACAAACAGTGGCACAGGCATTTGATCTTGTGTTTATTTTTAACCCAACAGAAATCAAAAAGCCTTTGTATTAATCCAAGTTATTTTTTTCTTCTAAAAAGCTTGGGGCTTATGGGTAAGCTGGGAGATATGACCAACACGTTCAAGTCCACACTGGTGCTAATCAGACCTGCACCATTGTTCACTGCTGTCTCATAAGGGAGCAGTAGGTGAGGGGCTCATGCAGTCAGATGTTTCCCAAAAATCCCGTCAGGGAAGAAGGGGAACCACGTCCCACTTCACTTCTATATCTCACTTCTTTGCGCCTCTCCTCTCCCATCACCTTTAACACAGTTCAACCTAACTCTGTTAAACAAACAGTTTTACTGTTGGCAATTCCCTGTGAAAAGTTTCTCCCCTTTCAGTGAAAAGGCTGATAAAATGTGGCTTTTTCCTTTTCCCCCAGCATCTCCAGGAAAGGCCTGTACCCAAATGCACTGGCAAACCCAGCTCAGCAAAATACTGCTGCACTGGCTGCTAATTAGTTTAGGAAGTTGCACAAGAAGACTGGTATTCTTATAGTAGAGTTTCTTGAAGAGGGGTCCAAGACAGAGCCTCCCTGAGGTGGTATATGTAACCTATCCAGAGGCTGCAATAAGCTTTCATTTAAAAAAGAAAAGTGAAGCTTTGACATGTAATGACATGTTGCAAAAAATCCGCCACAAATGTGAGAGCTGGCTCAGTTCCTCTGGCAGCAGCTATGCTGGGAGTCCTACAGTAGGCAAGGCTCCTGCTGTTCCAGGCCCAATCAACTTGATAATAAATAAATTGGCTGCCACAGGATCCTTGTTTCCTGTACAGATCCTAATGTTGTTTGCACCAGTGCAACTGAACCTGTGTTAGCAACAGGGTGAGCAGTTTATCAGTAACTCCTAGTGTAGACAAGGTTGTGGTTAGGAAGAAAACTGCCCAGCTGTGAAATGAACATGAAACAATGCCATGTTACCTGCCTGAGTCTCCACTAATGGTTCTGCAGGGTGAGAGCTCCTTTCACTCTACATTAAATGTTCCTGGGGGGTTACCTCCCAGACAAACATTTACAGGCAACATCAATTCTGTATGTGCTGTCACTCAATCTGTAGTGGCAGAGCTAGGAGTGAAATCCATGGGGAAGGGAACAGGAAAGAAGCTCCTTGGGCATAAAAATTGACAGTTACTGCAAGGAGGGAAGTACAGAGAGATAAAAGGAGGAGAGACACCAAAGATATAAATAAACCAAGTTAATGGCAGGTGGGGACAGCTACCCTGTAGTAACAGTCAGTTGCTCACTTTTATGCTACTCTAAGTGGAAGCTAGACTGGGGCAGCATTGCCCATCATGAAAGACCATGTGTGTTAGTTTTCACTTACAGGAGGGAAAGAGTGGGCACACAGACAGTTACTATAAAGCAGCTGATGCATAAGTCCCTGCCCTCTATCAATGTACTGTGATTTGTTTACCCCTCCCCAAAGCCATGAGCTGTGGAAAGAGGAGGATGAAGAAAGAAGGAAGAGTTACTCTACAGGGAAGCATACTGTGGAATATAACAATCAGGCAATGAACAGCTAAAACTGGTTATGGCATACAGGAACCAATATTTTTTCCCTTGCTTTTTGTGCAACTCTCTCTTGGCATCAGTGGGAGTTTTGCCGTGGGCTGAGGATGGAACACAGCCTCATACTCAAGCCCACAGACCATCATTAAAAATGGGATTTAGCCTTCTCCATGGAATGAGTTTTCCACCCCCGTCCCAGAGTGCTGCTTCCCTGTGAAGTCCCTATAGGGACATGCTTTAGATAAAAAAATGTGATATGAAAATGTGCTAATGCAATCACCCAATAGTTTCTTTCTCATCTTTAGCACAATAAATGATGATGAGAGTCCAACTCTCTTTTAACTTCTCTGGAGATCACAAAGTATTTCAGAGACACCAATGAATGCCCTGGCAGGTAAGAAAGCATAATAACCCCCAGGAAGAAAGTGAGACAGAAAGCTGAACAAAGGCCAGGCAGGAAGGCTATGACAGAGACAGGGATACCACACGTTGGCCACTGGACACCCTTTCTCTCCACTGGGAAGGCTAAGTATCTGTCAGAGTAAAAGAGACCTTGCCAACTTCTCCACCCAGCAGGCCAGAGAGAATGGGATTCATCTTCTCACCTCATTAGTACTGGACAGTTTGGGCAACACTTAGATATTCTGGTGTGTTAATGGATCAAGTCTGTGACACATATGTAGATGCATACCTCCAAAGTCCCCTACCTCACAGTACTACTAAAGGAAATTAGAAACACACAACTCCCTTAGCAATGTCTCAGTATAAACAGATAGACCTGGTAGGGCCGAGGCTTGCAAACAGTTCATCAGAGACTGTCAACTGACTTAGATGTACGATCTTTAAACCACACGCCTTACCCCAGAAGTGGCTTTCCAATTAGCGTGAAGTCATCAGCACCAACCAGCAAAACCTAGAGAAATTAAATTATGTACTTGAGTCACTTGCTAGCCACAATGTAATTAGAAACAACATCAGCAAAACTTTACATTTATCCCAGAAGCACTTGGGTGTGTTAAGATTTCTATTTCTTTTTTAAGTCTCAAATCTCAGGATGCCATAGAAAAAGATCTAACAGCCAAAAAACAGGCCCATTCAACAAACAGCCTCCCAGAGGATGGCTATCTGTATTTGATCAATGCATATTTTAAGAACACTTTTCACAACACATAGGATCTTGTCTGCGTATGTGCGATCATGGAAAAGAAAGAGAAAGGAAGACACTAGGACTTTAACACCAAGGTCTGTGAACACTAGATATCAAGGGAATGAGAAATATCTTCCTTATTCTTCCTGAGCCCTCAGAAGAATGATGACTGGGGCAGAGTCATGCCACACAATAACCGTTTGGTTTATAGCAATTCAAATGATCTGGCTAAGTCAGAAAAGAGGTGCATGTCAAACAGGACTTCAACTGATTAGGAAGTAAATGAAATTCAAAGGCTTTTTACAGCTGATTTCCCTGTCCCATTAAGTGTACAGCAGCAGTTAAAAGCTATACACCAATGACTATTACAGTTTTTGAGTTTTGCCTTTGACAACCTTTTGGCAGTAAAAACCTGACTGGATTATAGGGAGATTTACTGGGAGATTAAATGTAAATTCCTCACTTTCTTCACCCTGATTAAGACTCTGTGCTCTCATGCCAAAACTTCATTTTTTGCACAAAGATACACCAGTCACTAGAAAGGATGCCTTGAAACTGGACTTCAAAGCAACAGATTTGTAGAAAAACTGGCTCCCCAGATGTATTTATTCTACCGGTAAATGGTTGTCTACAGTGACTGAAGATGAATCTAATGCAGCCTTCTTTCCTAAAATTTCACATAAGCCTTGAGTTAAACAGTCTCTATAAGTTCTTTTTAGCATTAGATGTGGATTAGGAGGGAAATACCCACCCATGAGCTTACACTTATCCCCTAAACTTACAGTACTGTCAACTAATGTTAGCTGATCGGTTCCAGGACAAATATTTTGGGGGCACCATAGGAATACCAATAACCACAGTATTTAGTCCTTAGGAACATTTTGAGTAAAGCACACTGCTTTCCAACATAGGCAGGGTGTCTGAAATACGCAGAGCAATTTAGCCCATTTCCAGTTGGTATAAACTGAACCATCACCATCAACATGAGGGCAAATAAAATCAAAGGAAAAGGTAGACCTTGCTAGTATTGGGAATTAGAGAAAAGGTTTTTGTGGAGCTAAAGGGGACAAGGGTAATATTCAAGACCCGGCTGAAATTGATGTCTCAGGAGATCTTTCCTCATATTTACAATGGCAGCTTGGAAAAATTGGCCTCTATCTGTTGCATTTCTGCTAATGCAAGGCTGGAACAAAGAACTGTAGCACTGGCTTGTGGTTAGGATGGAACTGATAAGGATGAGCAGCATAAACATTTCCCATGGAAACAGATTTGTGGTGTGAAAGCTCATAATGGACTACTGTTGGTAGGAGAGGGCAATGAACTGTAAATTCCCATAATCCAGGATTTTATTTATTTATTTATTTATTACAAGAAGCCCTTGGCTGCTGCCAGCCCTTCCCACGATCTTAAATACTGCCCAAGCCACAGGCCTTGCCTGGTCAGTTCTGCTGCCTCCCATGGAGCCACAAGGTTGGAAGGACCTCAAGGGACATCCACTCCCAATCTCACTCACATGGGTGAATGGAGTTTCCCTGGCTAATTGTCAAGAAGTCAGGATTTATGAAAGTATGAAGTGATTGCAGCAGACAGGATGTAGGTGGCTGTAACAGGAGTAGGCTCCCAGGGTGGCCATGGCTCCCCCCAGGTGGCCATATGGCTCCTGCCTAGCTCTCTCTTTAAGATGCTCTCCTTTGGTTCCTCACCTGCCACACCTTGATCTTATTAAGATATTAAGGAAGGGAGGCTGCCCACCGGTCCTAGAGTGAGCCCTTGTCACTTCCAGCCACCAGCAGGTCCTTCCCTGACCCTGCTGGATTCAATTTTTGCCCTGAGATGAGTAGGCCTTCTCAGCCCATCTGTGCACCCAGGGCACCTGTGGCCTTAAGGGTTCGTTGTGCGACTCCACTCGCTCCTTACACCATGCCCATGTCTCACAGAAACTTTTGGGTCACCAATCAGGTGGGGCACTTGTCCCAAATCCAGCAGGCCACCACAGACCTTTATTCCTTTTCTGGGCTTTGGCTTTCCCAGCTTCTGCCCCACTACTCTGGTTGCACCCCTGTGGCTTAGACCTACCACACTAAGTCTGGCTCCCTGGGCTCCAGCCCCTTATCTTCCCCCTTGGGTCCTCTGGCCCCCAAGCCCTGCTCTTCCCACACTCTGCCCCCTCCCTGGGCTCTGGGCCCTCTGGCCCAGGCTCTGCCCTTCCCCAGGCTCTGACTACACCATGAGCCTGGCCCCATATGGCTCAAGGCAATCACATGTCCCTAGGGTACTAATGGGAGCTCCAAACCACACCTCACAGTCTCTTCCACAAACCACCAGTTCAGAATCTGGTCCAAAATAAGCCCTCTGGCTAGAACATAAATCCCCGCAACTGAGTCTAAGCTGCAAGCCCCAGCTCCTTGCTGTATCTGTCAGCTCCCCCTACCCTGAGTCCTGTTCCCCTGCAAGACAGCAGCATTTCTACTCGCACTTCACCCAGGGTAGTCCAGGCATCAGCCAGGAGCTTCTCTGTAGCTCTCCTGCCCTGGAGCTCTTCCCTCAGGAGCTCCCAGAGGCTGACTGAACGCTCTAGCTGGAAATCATGCTCCAGTCTGATCATGGGACTCCCTGAGTTACCACAGATGCTGCCTGATTTAGTTTGCCAGATCAACCCCAGGGAAACGGACTGCTGCTGGATTTTGCTGTAACAACAACTTGCCTCCCATGCAGGGGACTAGCTCAGTGCTCTACTGCCGTACAGCTGGTTCAGCAGTAAGTACTTGTAGCAGGTAAATCCCCAGGTATCTGTTCCTTAGACATTCACAGTAGACAGTTTTCCCCCTCCTGGGGTTCTCCCTGATCCCCCTTCACCATTAAAGTAACAGGAGCCTCTGGCTCTCTGTTACACTGACTCAGATGAGTAGATGGATCGTTTGTCCAACGACCAGGTGGTCAACAGCTTTTCCCTAAGGATAAAAGAGAGACCTTCTCCCAAGGAGGATACCTGCCTATAGCAGGAACTAAAACAGCAGCAGACTAGATTAAACGTGAATTCCTGACTTTTGCCAATTGCAAGGGCTGTGTGGGTGGAAAATGAAGTTGTATATCCTCCCCAAACAAAGCATCTGGTATACCAGGGGACAAAGGGGTTGGGAACTACAAGGCCTGTAATATCACTGTAACAATGGGAACATGACATACTTACACTGGTGTAATCTCATTTATGCTGATGTAAATGTGGAATGGACATAGAAACCTATGCTAGCATCAGTCACTTCACTCTGGGGTAAAGCACTTTTTGGGAAGTCAAGAGTAGCAATAGGCTAGTGCAAGTAACACCAGTGTACAGATAAGTCTGCAGTGAATTTCACCCCCCAGTAGCCCTTTGCTCAACACAGCCTAATACTGGCTAGCCTGCCATCTAGTGGCAAGACTGTGCAATGAGTCCATTGTGGGCAGCTGGGCATCCTCTAGACACCAACAGGATTTTCACTGACATACAAAAGCCATGTAATGTCCCAGAGTGCTGGATGTATGCACCCTAAGTAGGCAGACTTGACTTTGGGGACTTGAGTAACAGAAATGGGATAAAATGGAACAGTACAAAGTGTAAGGTCACGCATTTAGAAACCAACACCAATAACTTTATTACAAGCTGTGAGCTCCTCATTTGAAATTGAGGAGGAGAATGAGGAAGAGCAGAACTGGCAATCACAAGCTGATCACAGGATGATTATGAGTAGGGCCTGGTTTAAATCCTAGGCCCAGCTTGTGGTGCAGCAGCTCCTTTAATCTTGGAGTTCCCCCTGCCACTGATTAGCAGAGGGGGGGGCCCCACTGGCCCTGCTGCTTGCTCCTGGGCCCTAATCATGAGCTTCTAAAGCAAGGGTGGACAATTATTTTGGCTGGAGGGCCACATACTGAGTTTGGTGTTCTCTCATGGGCCACATCTGTTTCTTCTACCTGCTTGAACCATCCCCACAGCAATAGCATGCCCCATCTCTCTCTCTCTTCCCTGCCCTCGCAGCTACAGCATGCCCTGATCCACAATGTCCCGGACCTGTCCGCAGCTTACACCAGCTTATGTGCTGGAAGCAGTGCTGGGGAGGGGGTGGTGCTCGCATCAGCTGCAGATGCTGTCAGCAAATTCTCAGTGAGGATTGGGGCAACTACCCAGGACTGAAGCTGATATGTTGATGCAGATGTCCCAGTCCCCACCTGGAACCTGCTGGCCACACCATAGGTGATGCTGGCACCTGTCTGGCACTGCTTCTGGTGCACGGACCAAGAGCGGGTGTAAACCGCAGAAGTGTAGCACTGTAGCATTATTTTTATTTTCCCCAGCAGAGACCGAAATTGTCATTACTGTATTTTCTTACTTGTAATGTACACACCAATTTCCAGCAATTGATTTTTTTTGGGGAAAAAATGTGCTATTTGCAAGAAAGGGTACATGAGAAGATACTAGAAGAGTCTCTTCTTTATTTGATCAGGAAAAAAAAAGACAGAGGGGATATGACTGCACTCTGAATACATCAAGGAGGGAGAAGAGCTATTTCAGTTATAAGGCATAAGAACACATTGGGGGCAAATAAAGAAATTTGGGTTAGAAATTAGAAGATGGCTTCTAGCTATCAGAGTAATAATGTGTTGGAACAGCCTCCCAACAGGAGCAGTAGGGCAAAAAAGTTGCCTAGTGTTATGATGGAGCTACATTAGTTTATGAAAAGGATTGTGAGACACAGACTCATAGATTGTAGAGTTGGAAGGGATCACAATGGATCATCGTGTCCAACACCCTGCCCTTGGCAGGCAAGAGGACCGAGGTCAGATGACCCCAGCAAGGTGACTATCGAGCCTCCTCTTGAAGACCTCCAAGTTAGGTGATAGTACTACCTCTCTTGAAAACCCATTCCAGATTCTGGCCACCCTTACTGTAATAAATTTCTTCCTAATGTCTAACCTAAATCTACTCTCCACTAGTTTGCACTCATGATTCCTAGTTATTTCCTGGGGCGCTCTGGTAAATAGCACATCACCAATTTCCTGTTGTCCTCCCTTGATAAACTTATAGGCGGCTACAAGGTCTCCCCTCAGCTGTGTCTTGTGAAGGCCAAAGAGATCCAGATCGCTCAACCTCCCCTCGTAGGGTCTTTCATGGAGGCCACTAATCATGCGAGTGGCCCTCCTCTGAACCCCCCTCCAGATTCTCTGTGTCCCTCTTGAAGTGCAGTGCCCAAAACTGGACACAATACTCCAACTGTGGCCTGACCAATGCAGCACAGAGGGGGAACATCACCTCCCTCGATCTGTTGGTCATGCATCTGCTAATATGCAACAAGGTGTGATTGGCTTTGTTGATGGCTTTGTTACACTGCCGGCTCATGTTCATCTTGGAGTCAGCTATGACTCCAAGATCTCTCTCAGGCTCTGAGCTGCTGAGGAGGTCATCCCCCAATCTATAGGTGTGCTGGGGATTCCTCCTTCCTAGGTGGAGTACCTTACATTTAACTTTGTTGAATTGCATTCTATTTCGTTCTGCCCATTGATCCAGCCTGTCCAGGTCGGCCTGTATCTGCTCCCTGCCCTCCAGTGTGTTAACTTTGCCCTATAAGTTGGTATCATCTGCGAACCTGGAGAGTGTGCTCTCCACACCCCTGTCCAAATTGCTGATGAAGATATTAAATATAGGGTGGCTGGAATTGCAGGGAACTGGATTCAGTGATTCACAAGGTTCCTTCCAATCCTAAGTAGCAACTAACACATATGTGAACCATGGGCCTGCCTGATACCAGATTTACACTGCTTAGTCAAGAGTCTGAAGCCTTAGCTAGCCCCAGTACTCCAAGCACCAACAGCTGCTCCTGGAGAGTATTTCTTCTTTTACACTGTGGCATCACTGACACTAGGGAAGAGAGATCTCCAAGTTACTGCATGTAATCCTGGATGCAGGAAGGGACTTTACCTTTTCAAGTCGGATTCTGTCTCCACATTCAGCCGGGAGAACGTTTTCCATTAGAATCAAGTCTTCACTGGTGACCTTCCACTGCTTGCTGGCCAAATGAATCACAGCAAAGAGCCTTCCATACTGCCCAGTGGCAATCATTTCGTTCACCCTTTGTACGACCTCTGTTAACAAACGGTGAGGCAGTGAGTGCACTGGGGATAAATTGTAGTACGGAACATCAGCAGGCAAGGCAGCATGAAAACCTGCCCACATGTTCTACCCATCCCTCCCCATCTTATTAGGATCCTTACTGAGGGTTTCAGACATGGCCCGTAAGATGATGATGTTTCACAAAGAAGGAACACGCCTCCCTCCTTGAAAGACTGACTGTACCCATACAAGCATTGAACGTGTACCAGGTTTATACTGACACAGAGCGACTGACAAATGTGCAGCTTTCCTTCTGCTGGAACAACTGGTTGGATGTCAGTGGAATGTCCTATCCTGGAGACCAAGGTATTCCATAAGAGAGTGCCCTGCTCTGCTTTTTTTCTATCCCAAGGGGTGAAGAAGAGCCCTGAGAACCAGACAAAGGGCACAGAAAAGGTAGAGCAAGGGCAGCACAGTGTACAGGAACTGGGGTGCCAGGGTCCTTGGCCAGCTCAAGCTTGAGATTCTTTTACATGCCAGAAGGACCCTGCTTCAGCACCTTATTGTACGCTTCCTGGAGATATTATAACTTTGTGCTTTTGTTGTGCATGCTATGAGCTTAGCACAGTACTGGGCGCAAATTATGGCGCACACACAGTGAACAACTTTTCTAAGGTCATAACTCAGTCCAATCAAACACCACCATTACACAAACACTGACAAAGCATTGCTTAATGAGGTAT